TGTGCCCCGTGCCCATTTCGGGCGTCCAAACACTCCCTCTGCCCCGTCGCCTCTTCATCGACGCGGAGTGTTGGCGCGGGGCGCGGTCGAGATCGGGCGAGGCTTCCTGCCGGAGGGCCGCGTTCACCTTCATCCCCAGGAGGACCTCCTTGTGCGTGTTCCCTCTGCCAGTCTCTAGAAAGCCAGGGCGTGTGAGGCCTTGTTGGGCGCGTTGGTATCACAGCCCCCCTCCCCTCCCCCTCCACCCCGCGCTTCCCCTCGAGTGGTTGTGCCTCTGCCTGGGTCGACGTTGCCGGGCTGCTGTCGGACGCCCACTGGGCCTCGCAGTTCCCTGCTAAAGAGACCGGCGTTTGCAGCATGCGATGTGGCGCCGCCTGCCCGCTGATGACACGCTATCCCCCACCTACCGTGCACCGAAGAAGCTCCGGCAGGGGGGGGGGGGCGTGTGCAGAAGGGGCCCTCGCGGGAGGATCGCCTCGCAGGGACAGCGTGATCTTCGGATATCGATGCTACACGCTATCGTTCCAGCGCCAACCGTTCCTATCCTGTCCTCCTCCCCCTCCCTTTCTCTCCCTCCCCTTTCCTACCACGCTTCAGTCGGGCCTGTCCCTCTACAGGGGGGATCTTCAAAAATAGTCAAAAAATAGTCTGGGGATTATTCCCAACCATCCTGTGGTGTTGGGTCCTCGTTTTGAAGAGACAGCGCCCCGCGTTCACTCCTCCTCCTCCTCCTCCTCCTCCTCCCGCTGCCCCCTCCCTCCTGCCATCATCATCATCATCACCATCATCATCGTCATCATCATCATCATCATCGTCATCATCATCATTATCATCATCATTATCATCATCATTCCTCTCCTCTCCTCTCCTCTTCTCCTCTCCTCTTCACCCACCCAGTACACTGTTTCGTGGCTCCATAGGGAGCTCCACCGAAGGCCCCAGTGCCCGCGCCCGCATGCGTCACCCACACCCATTTCGGCACACCCCTCACACGCTTCGTGGCTCCATAGGGAGCTCCACCGAAGGCCCCAGTGCCCGCGCCCGCATGCGTCACCCACACCAATTTCGGCACACCCCTCACACGTTTCGTGGCTCCATAGGGAGCTCCACCGAAGGCCCCAGTACCCGCGCCCGCATGCGTCACCCACACCCATTTCGGCACACCCCTCACACGTTTCGTGGCTCCATAGGGAGCTCCACCGAAGGCCCCAGTGCCCGCGCCCGCATGCGTCAGCCACACCCATTTCGGCACACCCCTCACACGTTTCGTGGCTCCATAGGGAGCTCCACCGAAGGCCCCAGTGCCCGCGCCCGCATGCGTCACCCACACCCATTTCGGCACACCCCTCACACGTTTCGTGGCTCCATAGGGAGCTCCACCGAAGGCCCCAGTGCCCGCGCCCGCATGCGTCACCCACACCCATTTCGGCACACCCCTCACACGTTTCGTGGCTCCATAGGGAGCTCCACCGAAGGCCCCAGTGCCCGCGCCCGCATGCGTCACCCACACCCATTTCGGCACACCCCTCACACGTTTCGTGGCTCCGCTCCATCATTGGGCACAGCTCACAGGCCCCATAAGCCCCAGTGCCCGCGCCCCATGCGTCACCCACCCCTTTCGGCACACCCCTAACACGTTTCGTTCGTCTAGGGAGCTCCACCGAAGGCCCCAGTGGCGCGCTCGCATGCGGTCACCAACACCCATTTCGGCACACCCCTCACACGTTTCGTGGCTCCATAGGGAGCTCCACCGAAGGCCCCAGTGCCCGCGCCCACATGCGTCACCCACACCCATTTCGGCACACCCCTCACACGTTTCGTGGCCCCATAGGGAGCTCCACCGAAGGCCCCAGTGCCCGCGCCCGCATGCGTCACCCACACCCATTTCGGCACACCCCTCACACGTTTCGTGGCCCCATAGGGAGCTCCACCGAAGGCCCCAGTGGCGGCGCTCACATGCGCATGCGTCCCGCGCACCCATTTCGGCACATCCCTGACAGGTTTCGTGGCTCCATCATCCACCGGAGGCCCCAGTGGCGGCGCTCACATGCGTCACCCACACCCACCCAATTCGGCACACCCCTCACACGTTTCGTGGCCCCATAGGGAGCTCCACCGAAGGCCCCAGCGGCCGCGCTCACATGCGTCCCCGCCACCCATCCCGGCACGCCCCTCACAACAACAGGTTTCGTGGCCCCATGGGGAGCTCCACCGAAGGCCCCAGTGCTGCCGCCCGCATGCGTCACCACCCGCACCCAATTCGGCACACCCCTCACACGTTTCGTGGCCCCATAGAGAGCTGCACCGAAGGCCCCAGTGGCGGCGCTCACATGCGTCCCCGCCACACATCCCAGTACACCCCTCACGCGCTTCGTGGCCCCATAGGGAGCTCCACCGAAGGCCCCAGTAGCGGCGCTTACATGCGTCTCCGCCACCCATCCCGGCCCCCCCCCCCCGCAGCAGCATCATGTTTCGGGGACCCATAGGGAGCTCCACTGGAGGCCCCAGTGGCGGCCCGCACATGCGTTTCCGCCACCCATGTCGGCACGCCCCGCGCGTGTTTCATGTCCCCATAGGGAGCTTCGCCGAATGCCCCAGTGGCACCCATTTCGGCACACCCCTCACACGTTCCGTAATCCTATGGGGAGTTCCATTGAAGATGAAACCCGCAGCTGCGGTACTGACAAGTGCATATGGTTGGGTTCTTCGCCAGGCTAATTTTTTGAGTATTTGTTTGACCATTTGGGAGTACTTTTTGAATATTTGTTTCGTCGGAAATTCTCCTGCAGGGATACAGGCCCGACCTAATACCACGCCGTAGTCGGCCCTCGGCTCCCGGTGCCCGAGCAGGGCCCGCCCCCCAGTCTCGCCCGAGGGGAGATGAGGGGCGGGATCGGGGGGCGGGATCGGCGAAGTGGGTCCCTCCTCCCCCCGGTCTTCCCCTGCTTCCCCTCCTCCCTCCTCCTCCTCCCTCCTCCTCCTCCCTCCTCCCTCCTCCTCCTCCTCCTCCTCCTCCTCCTCCTCATCTTGCTCCTCCCCCTCCTGCCTCCTCTCCTCCTCCTCCTGCTCCTCCTCTCCTCTTCCTCCTCCCCCTCCTCTCCTCTCCTCTCCTCCTCCTCCTCCTCCTCCTCCTCCTCTTCCTCCCCCTCCTCCTCCTCCTCCTCCTCCTTCTTCTCCTCCTGGTCCTTCGCATTCGAGCGCGAACGCCCAGCTCCTCGCGCAGCCTTGCCTTGGGGTCGTTCCCCCACAGACGCGCCCCCGATTGGGGCGCCTGTGGGCTGGGCAGCACCCGCGCACTGGCCTGCCGCTGATGCCCTCGGCCAGCGGCCAGGTTCGGCCACAGCCGTTCGCGGACTTCGTCCTCGACGCCCTGGTCGTCGTGGACGATTGCTCCGACGGCGAGTAGGACCTTGGCCGCGCTTGTTGGCACTCCCGTCGGGAGGTGCTCGGGCACCCTTCTCCTTTTCGGGCTCGCGCCCGAGTCGCCTAGCCGTGCCCGCACGCTAGTCGCCGCGGCCGTTGAAAACTCCTCCTCCTCCTCCTCCTCATCCTCCTCCTCCTCCTCCTCCTCCTCCTCCTCCTCCTCCTCCCCTTGCTTCCCCTGCGCCCTTTTCCTTGGGCTGGGGGGCGTCGGCGTGGCGGCCACCGGCGAGAGGCAGCCGCGGGGCCCAGGACGGGCAGGGCAGCGAGCTGGGCTTGGGAACCGGGGAGGAGGAGGGGGAGGAGAAGGCGGGGGGAGGAGTAGGAGGAGGAGGAGGAGGAGGAGGAGGAGGAGGAGGAGGAGGAGGAGGAGGAGGAAGGAGGAGGAGGAGGAGGAGGAGGAGGAGGAGGAGGAGGGGGAGGAGGAGGAGGAGGAGGGGGAGAAGGAGGAGGAGGAGGAGGAGGAGGACGCGGCGGATCCCCTGCTCCCTCCTCCGCCTCCCCTTGCTTGCTTTCACTCTGTGGCTGGCCCTCGTCCCCCCCCCCATGTTTCTCGCGTGCCCGTGGTCGGCGGTCGCCTCCCCCGGCCTGCAGGCTGCAGGGTCTCGGCGGGCGGCCGTGCCAGGGGCGCTGCGCCCCCGCCCGCTGGTGGCCTTTCGGTCCCAGCATGGCGGCAGTGCAGGTGGTCTTCCGCAGCTGCTTGACACAGAGGTGGCTGACACCAGCAAGGTAAGTACACCTTAGGCGATGCTTCAGAAAACCCAAGTTTTCGGCCAGAGTCTCGATTATTCTTAATGTTTCACGGTAAATCTTAAGATTTTAATAGAGATGTTGGGTTTTTATTCAAGTTCTGAGACTATGAATTTCTTAACCCATGATTTCTTAAGCATTTCGCAGGGTGTATGCGGACTGCATGTGCCGTCCACCAGTGCCGGATTCCGACAGCGGTGCCTGCAATGGGGTCCGGGTCCAGAAGGTCTGCCCCGCCAGCCTTCACGCGCACCGCTTTCTAGGGTGGGAGAGCCCACGTGCCCTACCCGACTTATCAGGGTTTTGAGGTTTTGACTACCCTCAGAAGCCTCAGCAAAACACTGCAGTTCTCCACCTCCCCTCCCTTCCACTCTATTCTCGGCCCTCGTCCCCCACCCCTTCCAGGGCTCGCATCCCCGATCCCGCCTCCAGGATGGGTGGGATCGGGGGCGGGATCGGCGACGGTCGGCCCTCCCTCCCGCCTCTTCCCCCCCTGCCTCTGCTGCGTCCGGAGGGGGGAGGCGAGAGGGGGCAGGCCTTCTCCGAGGGCGGCAGAGCTCCGAGGCCCGCCGGCCCCCTGAGAAGCCCTCCGCAGCCTCGGAGAAGGCCTGAAAGCAGGCCCCGAGGGCCAGAGGCCCTCTGAGCCTTCTGACTAGGCCCGCCCCCTCGGCCTTCCCCCCTGGGCGCGCCGCCGACTTCTTCCAATGCTGTGGTCGGTCGTCGTCCCCCCCTGCCCGCAGGGCGCGCCCCCCCGGTAGAGAAGCGGCCGCTCCGCGGGGCATGCCCCCCCCGGAAAAAAGGGGCCCCTGGCCTGCCGGCCCGCCCGCCAGGCTGATCAGACGGTTGGCCGACAGGCTGCGCGAGAGCTGGAGCGGCGAGGAGGACATTCGCGAGGAGGTGGGAGGAGGAGAACGAGGAGGGGGAGGAAGAAGAAGAGGAGGAGGAGGAGGAGGAGGAGGAGGAGGAGGAGGAGCAGTAGCAGCAGCAGCAGAGGGAGGAGGAGGAAGAAGAAGAGAGGAGGAGGAGCCAGTAGCAGCAGAGAGGGATGAGGAGAAGGAGGAGGAGGAGGAGGAGGAGGAGGAGGAGCAGTAGCAGCAGAGCGCGGATTGCGCGGATAGACCGCCGTGGTCCGCACTGCGTGAGCTGTAGCAGCAGCAGCAGCAGCAGCAGCAGCAGCAGCAGCAGCAGCAGCAGCAGCAGCAGCAGCAGCAGCAGCATCACAGCACAGAGGGAGGAGGAGGAGGAGAAGGAGGAGGGAGGAGGAGGACGAGGTGATGGGAGGGAGGAGGGAGAGGGGTGGGGGAGGAGGAGAGGAGGAGGAGGAGGAGGAGGAGGAGGAGGAGAGGGGAGGAGGGAGCAGGAGGAGGAGCAGAGGATGTGGAGGAGGAGAGGAGGAGGAGGAGGAAGTGGGGGAGGAGGTGGATAGGTGAGGAGAGGAGTAGGAGGAGGAGGAGGAGGAGGGGAAGGAGGAGGAGGAGGAGGACGTGGACGAGGAGGAGGACGAGGACGAGGACAAGGACGAGGACGAGGGTGGGAGGAGGAGGAGGAGGAGGAGGAGGAGGAGAGGGAGGAGGAGGAGAGGAGAGGAGGAGGAGGAGGAGGAGGAGGAGGAGGAAGGGGAGGATGAGGAGGAGGAGGACGAGGGAGCGGAGGCGGAGGCGGAGGAGGAGGAGGAGGAGGAGGAGGAGGAGGAGTAGAAGGATTTGGAGGAGGAGGGGGAGGAGGAGGAAGAAGAGGAGGACGAGGACGAGGACGAGACTGAGTTTAAGCAGCGTGACGCATGTTGAAGGCTGGCGAAAGCAAGCTAAAGCCGAAACACACGTACACACAATCCCAAAGCTCGTCATAGCTAAGCAGGCGACAGCATGATGACATCCAAAAGGCTAACATAAGCCCAGGGGTAACAATTGCAAGGGCATGGGGTAGTGTCTCCAAGGAAGCAGGTGGGATTCATCCCGCACCTGGCTCATTGTTGCTGCTCCAGATGTTGCGTTGACTTGGGCTGAGAGAAGCACATCACCAGGCCACAAAGCAGCTACGGATCTCCGAGGCAAAGCATGTTTGTGGAGTGACAGTCAGATCGGTGCACGAGGACAAGTGGTCGCGCCCCTCGTTTTTCTTCTCCTTCCCACGCCATCCATCCTCCGCTTACCCTTCAGGTGTAATCGCAGCGCGTCCATCCTCATTACCAGCTCCTCTGGGGTAGCTTGCGAAGCAAAGGCGACGAGAGGAGCGACGCGCTTCGCGGTCTCCGCAGCTTCAGGTGCGAGCACGCACGTGCAGACGCAAGCCCGTGCTGTCAGCGCCGAGTACACGGCCGGGTCTTTGTTGTCCTTCGTGGGGCTGGCAAACGGAGAGGTCGGCCTACAGCACAGGTTTGCCATGACCTCTCACAGATTAGACGATTTGGCCCCAGATCTTCGGCCTAGGCGGTCTAGAATGCAGCCGCACGCCCCGCGTTTTCTACACCAGCGGTATGGATGTGCTCGCGATGGGCCCCAGATGAACCGCACAGGCAGCAGGAAGACCACAGCTTTGACCGGACTTCGTCCTGAAGTTTAGCGCCGATTGACGAAGTAGGATCTGGACCCCTCCAAGGCTTCATCGTGAGTTCGAACGGCCCGAGCTTCGTTGCGTGGTACCCGACACCTCAGCCACAGATCGGGGCAAGGTTGCTGTAAAGGAGTCGCATGCCCCTTTTCAGCCCCCCCCCCCGCTCTGCGATGCAGACGTGGCCCATTCTAACACTATATCGACAGAGAGTTACCAATGTATGTCCAAGTCGAATATCACGCAACCGTGTGGAGGCTTCGTCGAGAGTTCGAAGGGTCCGAGGTACAGCTGCTCTGCTCGAGGCTTTCTTGCTCGTGCGCGGAGGCGTGCACACGCGCTTCTTCCTGCCAGGCATTTGGGGGGCCTCTGGTCGGAAACTGGAACATATACATTACCAGTGGCGGGCTGTTTCTGAATCCTAGGATTGAGGGTCGGGGACGACGCTACGCTGGTGTGGTGTATACTTTTTTCCCCAATGTCCCGGGGAAGCAACGAAGAATGTATACACCAGGGTCCCGTATACATCAGGATCCGCTCTCCAGTGCAAATTTCAATGCAGGGCCGGAAGAAGCGTCGGCGTATGGAGTTCGATTTTTTCATCTGGAGCGCCGAGGGAGTGAAGCTGGGAGGGCTGCGGAGGGACCTGTCGACGGTGCAGCCTCGGAGTGCAGGAGGCATGCCGCGATCAAGAGGAGAAGGAGGCGCTGTGCCTGGCTCTCGAGCGGGCCGGAGGCCCGAGGTGGCGCGGCACTGCTTCTGGTCAGCAGGTGAGGCGGGCAGGTGCGAGGTTCTGGAGTTCGAGAGGCTGCTTTCCTTTTTTTGGTGGGCTTGTTTTCCACCACCACCACCACCACCATCATAAGTAGGAGGGGGGAGGAGCTCCTCGTCCTCCTCCTTCTCGCCTCCTCCTCCTCCTCCTCGCCTCCTCCTCCTCCTCCTCCTCCTCCTCCTCCTCCTCCTCCTCCTCCTCCTCCTCCTCCTTCCCCCCTTCCAACTTATGGTGGCGGTGGTAGTAGAAAACAGGCCTATCATTTTTTTCGGGTTCTAGGGGCCGTTTTTAGGCCCCGGGACTATGAAAAACGGATCCGGGGTGAAACAATCCACCAGGTGTACCCTGGGAGGGGTCCGGGCGCCGATTTTGGTCGGGTTGGACATCGTCCTCCTGATTGATCTTCTGGGGCCCCATCCAGTTCAGAGTCCCGGGCCGCCTCCAAGGAGGAGCTGCCTGGCTGCGTGTGCATGGGCAGAGCCCATGGCGTCCAGGTTCTAATTCTGCCAGAAGCTACCGACAGTTGGGCAAGTGCTACCGCAGGAGGAGAGCAGCTCACGATGCACGTTCTGCCAGTTACATGTATTTGATGTTTCCTTGCCGTGCCTCGTACGGGAGGCCAGGCTGCATGGTGGAAGGTTGGGGTCGGCGGGTCGGACTACCAACGCTGCGGTCACACAGCCCGGGCCCGCGTGAAGGATGAGCCTTTGAGGCAAGGCCCCCCTGCATCCCTCGGTTCTGGGCATGCCCCGTCGGCCCAGGAGGGTCCCTGCCTTGACGCGTCCTACTAGGTGTCTTGCATCCTTTCATTCCATCCGTATGGTTGTAGCTGTCTGAGCTCAGTCTGGCTCAACCGTCCTCGGCTTCTCCGTCCTCACTTTCCCAAGGGATGCGGTCTCAGCGAGCTTCTGCTCCGCCAGCAGCAGGGTTGTGCACAGCAGCCCCACACAGTGTGTGTGTGTGTGTGTGAGTGTGTGTGTGTGTGTGTCTTGGCTACGCCATGGCGTAGACAAGACGCCCGCGATCGTTCAACCGTGGCACACCAGTGCGATATTCTCTGTTGACCGCGAGCGCTCGCTTGCCGGGCCCAAGGTATCCGACCCATTTGGCTAGTTCGGTGATTCTGAATACTCCTCGCGCGCCGTCTCCCGCCGCCCGCAGGAGTCGGGCATCGCCAACGGGGTCCCGGCCATTTCCACGTTCGTCAGTTGCCGAGTGCAGGCCCAGCCAGAGGGCAGTTGAAGAGAATTCGGATTGGCATCGCGGCATGGATCAGACCCCCCGACGAATCGGAGGCCGTGCCCAGACTCGACGACGACGACGGTCAGGTGACGACCACGACGACGACGACGACGGACGACGACGGCGGACGACGGACGACGGACGACGGACCACGGACCACGGACCACGGACCACGACGACCATGACGACGACGACGACGATGACGACGACGACGACGACGACGACGACGACGACGACGACGGGGTGCGAGACCGAGGTGACACGGAGCCTCCCGTGCGGGACATCGCTGTCGGTTGGCGCGGTGCTCGCGGGGCGGGCGCGGCGAAGCACCCCGCGCGACCGTCGCCCAGCCGGGCGCCGGCTGCGCCGACCTGCGCCGCTGCCCCGCCCTCCGGGGCGTGCGCGGGGTGGTCGGTCGCGCCTCCCGCCGAAGCGGGGCGCCGTCGTTCGACCTCTCGGCCAGCTCGGCGCGGCACTCCGCGCGGGCCGCCTGCCCGGCGCTGCAGTGGGGGTGGTCCGTGCGCCGCCGCGCCTCGCGGGAGCGGGAGAGGCCGGTCTCGCCCGGTCTCTGCACGGGGTTCGAGGCTTCCCCCCCCCTCCTCGTCTCGGGGGATGGCGATTCATTGGTGCCTGCCGAGGTCCAGGGGCGCACCGCTTGCCTGCAGCGAGTGGCGACCATGCTGGGCGTTGGCGCCTGGAGCAGGCCCCTGGCGGGCTGGGCGCATGGTCTGCCTTCCGCCATAGTGTCCTTGAGTACGCTCTGGGTGCGAGGGGCTGCCGGTCGCCCTGTGCAGTGGTTTCTCGGGGCGGCCGGACCGTCAGACCGTCGGTCAGGTGCAGGCGTTCCGGATGATTGAGAGGCGAGTGGGAGCTTTCTTGAGCCCGCAGCCGCAGATGCCCCCACCGCTTCTCGCCACGGAGTTCCTCGCCAGCCGTGACGCCACGTGCGATTGAGGAGTGGCGAGACGAACGTAGCCCACCAACTGGGAGCAGGCGCGGGCCGCCCTGCCCCCCTTCCAGCAGCGCGCCTCGCTCGACACCCACGACCTCTGCGACGATCGCATGAAGGAGTGGTTCCTTGACCCGATGGGCACGCCAGTTCCTTTTGAAGGGCTTCAAGGAGAGACCGCGCCCGGGGGGGTCACGCGCGAGAAGTCGTCGCTCTTGCCGCTGGCCTGGGGCCTCCTTGAGAGGGGCTTGGTCGCGCCACTTCAGGAGGCCGACTTGATCCTGGCGGCGGGCAAGTCGCTTCTCAATTGGCTTTTCGGCGCGGGGAAAATCACCCCCGTCGAAGGCGACACCCTTGTCAGGGAGGCCCTGCAGCGGATTCTGAACCTGACCGCCACCAACAGCGTGAGCATCGAGCACGGGCGCGACATCGTCGCGCTGCCCTTCTACGCCCAATTGCGCTCGATCATCGCTGGGCCCAGCGAGGAGCTTGTCTGGCCGCGCGACGACCTGGAGGGCGCCTTCTACCTCTTCAGGCTGCCGTCCTCGTGGGTTCCTCTCTTCGTTGTCGACGTTGCTTTGAGCGCGTCGGACCTCCACCTCGGAGAGGAGTGGGGCCCTGGGCCTATCCACCTCGGGGCGATTACACTGCCCACGGGGTGCAAGAACGCGACGGGTCTGGTCCAGTATGTGCACGGGCGCATGCTGGCCTCTCACAGCTGCGCCCCATCTGGCCTGTTCGAGATCGCGAGATCAGGAAGGATCGCGCTGTGCTGGCCCTTGTTTCGAGGTCTTTGCAGCGCCTGCGGCATTCGCGTTGCGACGACGCCGACCACGTCGAAATCGTCCAGGAGTTTGCTGCCTTAGGGCCCCCCGCCTTCGCCGAGGTTGCGATATCTGTTTACAGCGACCTCGGCGCCCCCCTCGGCGCCAAGATTGGCACGCGGGTGCAGGGGCGCAAAAAGCTGGGCGCCCTGGTGGGCGGCAAGGGCGGGCGCGCGCGGCTTCCCCCTGAGCGGGCAGCGCGGCTGGCTCAGCTGACGGCATACTTACTGACCGAGGCCGCGACGCTGAAGGAGCTGCAGATCGTCGTGGGGCACTGGTGCCACGCTGGGACTTTCCGGCCAGAGCGCGCGACTGCGCGCGCCCGAGTCTGGTGTGCCATGTTTTCGTGGCCGACTCGAGGGCGAGCTCGCTGGCCCGATGCCGTCGCATGCGAGCAAGCGCGCGGGTCGCGCTTGCTGCCGCTCCGCGTGTTCGACTTCCGCGCGGTTGTGGACCGTGCCCTCGCGAGCAGTGGCGCCTCTGAGACGGGCTGCGGCGCCTGCTGCGCGGGGCTGCTGAAGCCCACGTTCGCGCCGACAGTCCTGTCCGAGCTTGCCCGCGCGCGCGGTCAGTGCAGGGGCGCCGTGGGCCTCGTCGAGCTTCGCGAGGGCATTGGCGGGTCGCGAATGGCCATCTAGCATTTGGGGGTCGACCTTGCTCCGCGCGCGGCGGCCGAGTTCGACGGGGGCGCGCGGCGGGCCCCGAAGGCCAAATGGCCTGGCGCCAAGCTTTATGACGGCGCGAGGTCCATCGCGCAGCAGGGTGTCAGGCGCTTGCCCGGCACTGCCCCGCGCATCCGCGCCCTATCCTTGACCGGGGGCAGCCCGTGCCAGGGCGTCGCGGGGGCGGGCGTGGAGGCTCGAGGCTGCGCCGCCCCTTCCCGTCTTAGAGCCAGCCGGTCGAGCACGTGGCCCCCATGTCCACGTTGAAGGGGGCGGTTCAGCCCACTGCTGCGCGCGGCCCCCGTGGAGCTCTGCCCCAGCGAGTGCAGTCCGGTCAAGAGGCCGAGGCTTTACTGGGCCACTTTCCCTTTCTGCCGCCCCCTGGAGCATAGCCGAGATGCCTGCCCCAGCGTCGTCGTGGCCGGGCTCCGAGGGCCATGGCATTGGCCGAGCAGTTGAGGAGGGGGCAGTGCGCCCGCTAGGAGAGGGTGAGCCCTGGGCGACGTTCGCGCGCCCGATCCCTCGCGCCCAGCCGCCCGTTGCCCCGGCGGGCCCGCTGGCTGCGCCTGCAGAGGCGGGGAAGCGCCGGGGGGCTGACAGCTTCAGATAGCCGCGGTGCCAGCACAAGTTGTCCAACTTGGCGCGGGCGAAGGGCGGCGACCTCGGGCCCCTCGGAGCTTCGACAGGGGCGCGCCCCCTGGCTCCCCCCGGAGACGCCGCGCGCCTGCAGCGCCCGAGAAGGTGGGCTTCAGCGAGAAAGAGGCCGAAGACATCAAGCGCCGTCTGTGCGGCGAAGGCTTCCCCGCCCCTGTCGTTGCTTCCCCGCCGGGGGCCGGCCTCGTCTCGCGCGGCCTGCCGGACGAGCCCCCCCTATGGCGCAGCGTCGGGGCGATGCGAAAACCAGGTGGCCTGGGCGGCAAGGACTTCGGCGAGTTCGGCGGCGCCAACGTCCACCGCGTGTCTAGCGAGGCCTGATGCATTCAGCGGCCTTCATGGTCTTCAAGGGCTCGGCCTTCATGCTTCCGGCGCCCTTCTCAATCCCGCGAGCTGGTCGAGGAGGGGCGCCGAGGCCAACGGGTGGCGCCGGCGCGTCTGCCTCGGCTATCGTTCGGCCCCAGGCCGCCGGGCCCGCGTCGACGCGCTGGAGATGGAGGCCTTGCTAGCGACTTTCAAGTGGAGAAGCCGAGGGGCTTGTCGCTCGCAGGGTCGCGTCATCCACTTCTGCGACTCCCAGGCGTGCATCGCCGTCGCCTGCAAAGGTCGCTCTGCTTCATTTTTGTTGCAGCGTGCGCTGTCTCGCCTGAGCGCCCCGCCGCTCGCCGCCTCGCGCC